CTAAAGGCGAAGTGTGGTCTGTGGGTAGCTCGGATTCAATATCGAGGGTAGTATAGGGGAACAGAAATTCCAGCAATGACTTTCACTCATCCGCCGGTGTTGTCCAAGTATCATGAAAATATTTGGAACATTGTGAAATTCAAAACACGAGCTGATCCCGTCAATTTCTTCTTCAGGTCAATACAGACTATAAAAGCCAAAGCTTAAGCAAAAGTGGGTGTGAGCCGGAGTTTACGTAAACAAATGAAATCTGTTTACTTCATGGCCTGAGTGGGCAGCCGTCTCGTGGACAGACCACGAAAGTTTCAATGCAACTACGAACGCTTTCTGCCGACATGGACTCGGGTTAGTTGAGCCCATCACAACTGTCTCGGCTGTGGCCAGACGTTGATACTCAATTAATCTTGGTATAATAGTGGAAAATTGGTGCCAGACTTCATCACAAGTGAGTAACCCCCGCAATAGTAATAGACCGCATCCCACCTCCGATTCCGTTGTCAGCCAGAACGCTCTACGCTACCTTTCCACTTTCTTGCATAGGTGCCGAAACGTGTAATGCCGAGGAGGCGAGATGGCCCAAGTGGCTAGAGCGCGAATGTACTGATCGGAAGGTTCGAAGCCGACTTCTACGCCTCGACTTCCCCTGTCTAGGCTTGGGCAACCTGGCAGTATCCCAGCCCTCGTGCTTCCTTTGGGTGGCATGGCATTAAGGCTCCGAAAGGGTGCTACAGTTGAACGTGTACTGCCGATACTGGTCTGTGGCTGCATTCAATTTGAAAGGAAGGTAGATAGAGATGGGTTTCTTCTGGACCGTAACCGATTCGATTTTCTTACTCATAAGGGCCTATCTAGATGATCGCTTTTGCGAGATGTACTTGCTTTGGTTGTTATTCGGCTTTAAGTTTCTTATCTTGCCTCGTCAATATGACATCTAACAAGACAAAGCTGTTGAAGCTCCAACGCTGCAGGTTAACGGGAGACTCAACGGAATCTCTCGTGTCTAGTACCTTTTAACCCAGTGTCCTGTGCAACCGTTCTCATGCTCCATTGGGAAAGCTATTAAAGTTGAAGAATAACGTGAACGAGTGATTTAGCTAAGTCTCACTGGGATCCTCCATTAACATCAACCTACTTTGCAGTCCAATCTGGTTTTCAAGCGCAGAGTGATAGAAATTCGGAGATTAAGCCTATCTGGTGAGTCAAAAAATGATGAAAACTGGTGGTCGAATGTCCAGGAGGTTCTAGGAAGTAGTGTCATATCAAGAAAACGTTCAGTAGACCTTTACACGTGGGGCTTAATCCGGCGCAATCGACCCAGTTGGACGCTGTCTTTGGACAAAAACCGACGCATCTATTTGCCGCAACAGTCACACCAATTTTTATTATTACGGCTCAGCTTTGCTGCCGTCCCTTTTTATGTCTGGTCTACAAACTCTAAACATCGCGACTGAAGGACAACATCGGTATTCTTCCCGCATTGTTGTCGTGTACTAGGGTGATCCACTGTTTTACGATTGCAAATAACGCGTTGAAAATGGGTGGATGCTGATGGGGAATTCATTTTAAAGCCATCTGAGTTGCTCGCTACTCTCTGCTTCCTTACTCCTGTGGTGTGTCCAGCCAGCTACTCTACTCCACTCATTTTCGCCTCAATTGAAGAACAGTTTATCGGCCAATCTTAGCCCTTTTCGTTTGATGATGTCGTGCGGCAGTTTATCTTCTCTTTTGGCAACTTTGTTTATAGAGAACAATTCCACTCGGGCGGTCGATGCTGGAGGAGTTGCGATTTTGTTGGATTTGTTTCTCGACGTCCATCGTTGCGACCTACACGGGCGGCGAATCCCGCTACAACGAAGTTCTCTAGCCTGCCTCAAGTCCCTCACAGTCTCACGTGAGTTTACCGTAGCAAGACATTCTCTAGCACCGGAATTCGTCGTAGGATTATTTTTGAACTCACGCCACCCTGCTCACCAGTATGATGGATACGCAATACAACCCCTTGAAACCGAACATCGCCCTAAAACAACACTACATCTTTCTGTGGCGGACGTTTTTTTCTACTGAATGCCACGTGTGGTTTGTTCCGCAGTTGGCAAACTCGAACAGAACTGTTTTATCAAGTCACCACACCAGGACTTGCGACACAGCATCAACTACACTCGGTTCTGGTGTCCGCAAGACACAGCCGACATGCGATCACAGCTCTCTCTCTCAGCATTTCGTTTTAACTTTTGTTGGCAGAGACGCACCTAAATATGACCGATTTCCATTAAACAAGGTAGTCTTTTCGACGATGAACACTCCCGTGCAAATAAACTTGGTACTAACAAGAGAATCCACTGAATCTCTCTCGTTAGTAGTGCTTTACAGCTGAGTATCCTGCACACAGGCCGCGTCATGTTTCAGTGGATGATGTGAGCTCCCGGAGTCCATTGCTGCTTTCTCCCTTTTGATGAAGCTTACCAGGTATAATTCGTCGACCTCATGAGTAGTAGTATCATGCGGTTCAGGGTCCTATATTCCGTTGCATCTGCTGGATAAATTGGTTGAATCAGAGTAACTTGGTACATACGTGGTTAAGTCATTCAATGACCGACCACTACTGGACGTCTAGCTCGGGAGAAAACAGCAACTCTTTATTTTAGTGGTTTTCTACCACTTGTACCGGAATTTGTGTTTGCAATCCAAATGCTATAAGTAATTATCAAGGACAATGTCAATACCGCCGCTGTCCGTCAGGTGAACATAGCGTGATGACGAGGCCATCACGTTTACGGTACGACGTGCTGCCAACCTACTCTCAGGACAACGAGGTTGTCTGCATTCCACGTTCGCAGGTCCAAAAACTGCTGTATAGTTTAATTAGTCTTCCTCTCTTTCCATTTGAATTACACCTGGAACAGGCTCATTCCTACTCATCAACGGATCACCTGTAGGAGGGATACCCGACACAGGCATGTTTTTTCTTCCATGTGGGCTTTTCCCATGGAGGAGTTTCGCATTGCTTCCAGGTACACTTGATTTACATCATCTGCTCATCAACAGGCCGTAGCTCAGTTGTATTTTGTACCTATTGCCCAGGAGACACTTCAGCATTGAGTAAGTTTGAATTGCAGTTCGATTATGTGCAATGAAGCTTTAGACAGGTTTTAACAGGAGACTCACCCGGGGGAGTCTTCAGCAACCTTATGAGTAGTGTATTGCGTCTATACCATGCTTTTATTCTTCTTTACTACTGACCTACCAGACGTCAGCAGTTACCGATTTTGGACTCAAACTACCTAACGTTGACGGAACGAGCGTCTCCTTCGTGTCCCCCTATCCTAGAAGCGAAGTGTTTAGTGCTCTACACTGTTAATCGATAAGAATACACCTGCCGCTATATCATTTTGAGAATGTGAGTTGAATGTTGGTGGCAAATTGCTTCACTCTCAGTTGTCTGCCGAGCTGAAGCTTAAACCCCACCTCACCAGACAATGTACGTTGCCAAATCAACATACTGGGCGATATGGTAACGTGTTTTGCCACATGTCTGTATTAAATCCACACGTCCCCGTTCGTTGGAGGACTCACCTAATTCTCATACTCATGTCTTCCATCTTTGAGTGCGAATTATCTGTGATTTGTAGGCATGTGTGGTAAAAATCCCCCAATATGTTCGCATGAGAACCTTGTTTTTCGAAGCGTTCAAGTTTGGAGGTCCACATGTGTGCAGCCCACCGAAGCCATTGAAGGCTCTGGGGCAATACAGAACAAAGTTCGGTAAAACAGAGGAGCCGGCGTTGGATGACTGAGCCGCGATCAATATTGAAAGGAGATGCGATCAATGAGTACCCTCCTTCTTATCAAAACGCCTATTCTGATCTTCACTCTCACACCATCCATTTGGCCTTTACTATTTCATCAATTAGGACACTGTCCACATGCATCTTTGTCAACCGGATGGATCTGTAGGTCACAATTCCCTACCGTTTGTAAACAAACCAGGATGATCCCTTCTGGTTCATTGCTGTTTTCCAAATACACTTGGTTGCCAGGTAGCGTTTCCATATTTGCTCCCCGTAATCCTTGTTGGCTATTTCATCACCATCATCACCATTGACAGCATAATAACAGTGTTGAATAATGATGTTTCGCTGCCGTACGATCATAATTGATTTGGAAGCCTAATTGTGAAGAAATAAATAAAAGTAAGTTGGGGAGGGATTTTGTGACGGCCTACCCCTCCAGACCCTCTTTTAACCAATCTGATCAGTTGGATGGACTTGAATATGGAATTCGCTCTTGCAATGTAGAATGAAAACCGACCAACAACAAGCAAATTGACATACTGTAGTGCCGAAAAACGTCTACGGCCCCTCGTCCAAAGTTCTTACCAAGAAGTTTGTTGGCAGAAAGGCACTACCGCTTTCTACTTCTTGCGTTGTGGAGGCATGTGTGCATTCAAAAAGGTCTTCCGGATTGTCGTAACTTGCTGGACGGTAGTGCAACTCTGTCTCGGTCCGTTGGCTCTTGCTACGCCCCACTATGGTATGTCAAAAGACACGGTAGCTCTACACAGCCCTTTATGGAGACAAAGAAAAATTATTACAATTGTATTTATAGGGTAGTCACAGAGTGTTCCACAAGGTCGTGCCAGAATCTCTGTGAGGGGGCGAGAAGCGTCGAGTCAAAGATGCGTGACTCGGATTGGCTGGCATTCTGACCAATCAGAGCATGCCTTCGTTTGGTCCGTCTCCTGCACGTGACACATCCGTCCAAATGATGTGGTGTTCGGTTATTGGGGACGGCTGACCTCCGTACACGGATGTTCACATTTTCGAAAATGAGGATCTCACATTTTGAGTGACTCTCAACTAGTATCTGTCCACCGGATCATCCGTTTTTGCAAAAATGGACTAACACCAATAAATGGGTTATTATCAAGCCCTCCCACAATAATTCGCGTCAGACGGACTACGTTGGGTTGCACTCTCAATGGGAGCAGCGTGCTTTTGGAAAGAGATTTTTGGTCGATATAACTATAACACATCATTAAAGATTACACAAAATAACGAGTTTTTCTTCAATGTTCTGTTTTTATCGTTCATAGAATGCATAGCGGGCTAAGGTGTTGACGCGCTGGAATTTTTTCAGAACCTCTATCTTGAAGCAAAATGAATTGCTAAAACCTTTTTAGTGGGTATCGAACATTTGTTTGTTGAGGGCATATTTATCAATCCTAAAGTACGCGCTATATCAACAGGCAGCTGCACTTGTTCGTTTAGTTTTTTTGAACAACTTTGGAACTGTGGACTTGTAAATTGCAAAAATCAGTAAGTGTGCGCGACCCACGTTGTTCTTACTCGCCTGAAACACTTTTTTGTGCACTGAGTAGCTACGAGATGTGGGGGGACAGTTTTTGGTATTTGATTATCCACATCACTGTACGAGACGTGCTTTTGAGCTGTAGATGAGAACGTTTTTTTACGACTGTGTGAATGAATAAACCGCGTAACCATCGTCTACTAGGAAGGGGCCCAGAGTAGTTACCTGATGTGCTTCGCGCCTCTGGGTCTACCAACTGCTTAGACGCACGTTCCCGTTACCATTAACACAATATTTAGTCAATAAATCGCCTAACCGACAGTAGTTTTTTACTGTCCACACTTCTACTAGGTGCTGGCCGGAAGCTGTTCATCAACAGTGGCGGACTGCACACATTATTTGCAGTATGTGCTGGTTACGTTGGTCCTGATCCCTTTTGCCGTATCGGCTTGGGTATAACCTTCAGCAATTCGAAATCCGTCTCGGATTCCGGTAGTCTACTCGGTTCTCGACCCGGCAAACCCGTTGGGTTTCGTCGAGCAAGACGTGCTGCAGCATCACATAGTTTGCTTCGAAGTAGCGACACCTCCACAGCCTCAGCCACAGGTGGTTCCGGGTGCAGCAGTCCGCAGTCGCAAAAGGGGAAAGTGGTGAATTGCGATGCGCCGCGTTTACCGTCGTCGACAGCCGTTTCCTGTGCACCGCAGGCCATAGCATCTGAGAGTTTGACCAATTTGTCTTCATCGGCTGCTGGAGACAACGGTGCTGGAGTTCCTTGCCGCTTCCCTTCAAGTTTAAACAAATCAGAGGGGCTTGTTGCGATTCTCTCTGATGCTTGCTTGTTGTTACGTCGCTGCTGCCCACGAAGCCGATTACCTGTGACAGGTGCCGAGGGTATACTTCGGTGCCCGCTACCTAGAGGTAAGTCATCTCATCTTCGTCATCGTCATCACCATTTTTTCCATGAAGTTCGTGGTATTACGCTGGTCTGTAAGACAATTCGAATCCTCAATCAAAGCCTTTGACTCAAAAGCCTGACCGCACGACAGTGGGTGGATGCTGCCACACTACCAGAGTAGTACAAGTTTTTTTTAAGGAACAAGTCACCGTGCCGGCTCAAGTCTCAAACCTGGAGGACTGGGAGACTGCGTTCATCAAACCTGCACCCAGTGACTAATCTGGTTTGACTGCACGCGGCAAAGTGAAACCCTTCCCGTATATCTAAGTGGGCCACACCGCAATGAGGTACAGTATATTTGCAACGGACAATTGAGTCGTTCAGCTCTACCACCCATTCGGTGCCTTATTGCCATGCCACCAGAAGAAAAGCACGAGGGCTGGAATACTGTGAGGTTGTCCAA